TGGCAGCTAGCAAACGTGAGGTTTGTTAGAACCCATTGTCAACTGACAGATGTTTGCATTTTAATGATCACAGATAATACAATCCGAAGTTTGCATTCAGCATCTGCGACGCAGATGTTGAATTTATCACTTTGTTCTGACTTACGTTTGTTTTTTCATTGTAGGACCACAATTAAGAACTGCTGATTTGATGTCAGTACTGAAATCACAGCATCAGAGAATTGGATGAAGCTACATGTACATGTACTCAGTTGTGGTGTTGAAGAGTAAAAAATATGTCAACCATTTCTGGGACCAGTCAAACCACAAGATGTCATCTGTGTTGAAAAGTCTTGTGGGGTTAATGTGCATCGTAAGTCCTGCATCACAAATAAATGGCTGGGCAAGATAGGATATTGTGCAGCTGTGCAGTATGTTATGTAGCGGAACATCAAAAGGAGATCTAACATAAGTTTGGAATTGTTGCTATAACCACGTGTGGAATTTGTTGTCAAAAGCTTTGGAATAGCTTTTTGGAATCTGTATAATATTGAGCTGGAGACTATGCCGAAGTGCTATTATTAACCATTATTGCCTGTAGTGTTAGGGATCCCAATCCCAACCACTTCACAATATGTTGAATTTGTACGGATTTGAACATACCTGTACCTTCATTGTACCTTCCAGCAGGGGCGGTAGAACAGATAGCTTGGACATTGGATTGGATGGAAGCTATTATTAGTGGACATTGGCTTGTCCTCCCATCTTCTTTGTCCACTCAATCTTTCCGCTACGCCTGCTTTCAAGGCCAAAAAAGGAACAGAATACCACCCAAGGATACTATAGGTTTTTTCCCAAATAAGTTAATATCTGGAACTCCTGATACCAATCTAAATGCTTCTGCGTCACTAATATCAGTTCCTACCACTTATACCAGCTTTCCTGAGATAGCCCTTTATTTTAATTGATTAATTTACATGTATTTCTATTCTAAGGCAGATCTAGCCTCATTAAAATACAGGAATACAAAGTGGAAAGGGGGCCATGGCCCCGGCCTCTTCCATTTCTGTATTTAGTAAATATTTCTGATGGAATCTGAGAGTTTTTGCCATCATTCACTATCTTGATTGATTTGACTTACAAACCAACTGTGTACTGACAGACTTTGCTTAGGGACTGTAAAAGGGTTTTATTTCACCACAGAACTACAGGATTTTCAGAACTACCCATCCAAGGTATTTCTTCAGACTTTATTTTTATTCACTGGTCTGCATATCCTCTGCATTTGCCGCCTTGCTTGCTTTTCGTCTGCATACATCTTGTAACCTAAAAGGGAAACAAAAGAGATTTTTCGTAAAAAAACTGACATTACATGTTTAAAAGTTCAGGCCCTACAAAGTGATTATTCTAATAGCCCGACTAGCACACGTAGGTCTACATGTATTTGCAAGTCTAGTGTATACGTGTGATGTTTGGCACGATGAGTCAATCTGTACCATCACAAAATTGCGTTATGAGTCAATATTTTATAATGAAACATCGGACTTGACTTCCTCCTGGAGGAACAGTCCTTCACAATCGGTAACTGCGAAGTAGAAGCAAAAGGTGATTGATAATAACACGATTGCAGAGATTGCCCGATCGCGCCGCACCCGAATAATACTGTACACGTCCCTGAAGTACATGTACATGTATTTTATCCTACAGCATTGTTCAACGGGCGCCTGACAATATCGCTGACATTACTTTGCAGACTTCGCGAACTCGTGTTTCCGTCGTGTTCCCCGTATTCCTATGCATGTGGCAACGTACATGTATAAAGGTTGTAAGGGGCTGATTGGGGGTTGAATATCACTGCAGTGCATATGCATTTGGGGGGATTTGAATCGGCTTCCCCCTAGCAAAGTTGTTTCTGTGTGTTCCTTGTGCTGTCGGCAACATTTTGGAAACTGTTTGTGTCTTTTGATAACGTGACTGTGAACATAATTTTAAGCTCTGTTGGATATTATTAATTTTGGGGAATCCCAGCCCTCCTATAAGTGTATGTGTTAGTAACACCTGGTTAGTTGAAGAGCACTGTATGATGAAAGTTTAATAATATAAATAATGATCTTTCTTCTGCTGAAGAACTGATTGTATGGACTATTGTCACCGCTATTGTCACTGCTATTGTCACCGCAAGCTCATAGTCTCATTAATTTCACACCCGTCATATCCCCTCTGGGCCATTTTGGAAACTGAACAAATAAAACATGGGGTTTTTTGGGCCTGTTTTTAATTCAACCCACAATTGAGACACTTGGAAATAGGTTCACCTTGCAAGCCACGTGCCATCATCAATACTTTCTCCGGCACGGATACCACAGTGCATGTAGGCCTATATGTGTGCATGTCTACTGTATAACAGACAAACCTGATCTTGTCATTTGCGATGTGCAGACTAGAACTTGTGAAAAATAACTCTACCCCAACTTTGAGTCATTCCTCATTCCTACACTGTGCTTACTGTACGACTAGCTGTGCACTTCTACATGTTGTTTAATAGTGATGCATATGGTTCGCGTATCGAGCAGTTGACTTGTTCCTAGAAGTACAGTAGTACATGTACATGGAGGTCCTATTCCATTATACCATGTGACCGGCACCTTACCATTACACACCGTCGGGTTCCAAACCCTGTTTCCATAATTATTCAGGCTTTATTCATACAAGCTGGAGGGCATGAAACTTTGGTTTCTAAAACAGCTCTGACATTGCGCACTGTGCTGAATGTACCGTAAATCCTGCGCTCACGTAGTTGTATGTGCAATAGCTGTTTTATGTACAGGGATGATATCTGCAAGGGGCACTGGTGCATTGGGCTGTCGGTTGCCAATACACGTATGTTGAAGGAAATCTCCGACTTTGCTTCTCTTTTTGAAAGCAATTCTCTACACACACGAAGAATTAAAAAGCAATTAGCTGATGGCAGCATTGTTGACAAATCTGTGACTGATCACGCTCATCAGAAATAACCTGTTGCTGAACAAAAAACAATTAAAATTGCAATTGTTTTCACGGAACAAATGATACTTTACATGAAATTTTACTAAAGAGGACCAATGCTACAGCTGAGTAGATTTTCACAGAACAGCACTCTCTTTCAGTTTCATGAAAGGAGACGTTTTCCTAACAAAGCTTACATACTCATTTATATAGACCAAGGTATTGTATATTTCTGTAAAGCTCCTTTACCCAAAACATTCTACTCTTCAATGACTATTTTCTTAAAGATTTCCATACACGGAGGTCACTAATTCTCCTCTCTAGTACCCTATTTGTCCACAGAAAGTAAAAAAAAGTTCCAAAAAGGCTATTTTAGCATTTAAAATTTTATTAGAAAACAATTAGATTTTTTCACACCAGTCCCATGAGTTTGAGACAGGGAGTCAAGTGACCTCCGTATATGGAATTCTTTCCCTGTTAGACCCCAAGACGAGCCAAACTTTTTGTAAACTAATTTTGGTTCCAGGAACTCCTTCACAATAACGGTCCCAATTTGATGGCCAATGCCCGCCGCCCCAAAATTAGTTAGGCCTTGGCCCTGATATACGCGGAACTTGATGCCTTTCGGACCGATCGCTCAGAGATTCCCAGCACGTTATAAATATTTCAATTTTAATGCGGGGACATGACCATTTACAAATGCACATTTCTTAATGTGTATGGGGTTCCACTAAATGAGAATACTTCATTCCACAGTAGACTGTACCACATCTCAGTGTCTGCGGATATCGTCTTCTGGGCGGGGGGAAAGATCATGATCATTTTTAATAGCTGATCGCATACGACCGAACAGATAGAGACCGCCTTCCAACTAGTAAATTGATTGTAATACAGGAACAAGCTCATTTCTTAAACCAGATTTAGCAGAATAATAATATACATTGTAATTAGGGTTCCACAATCAGTAAACACAGTGGAAATACTTTACATTCCTTCCACATTTCTTGTGATCCATGCGATCACTTTATTCTCATTCTCAGTTTCATGTTAATTCTGTACGATCATGTTTCCTTCAATTATATTGTCAAAAGGCCAAGTCCTTGCGTCACATTTTACCCAATCATGTTACAAGCTTACAGAAATAGCCATTCTGCTTTTTTATCTGAATGTTTTTGCATTGCATTGAACGATATTTGAACAATGCTTTTTCTGAGCGCCGATCGCGAACGTTCTTTGGAATAAATGACGATGTACATTAAGCACAGTAAGTAAGTTCGCCGACTTCACGTTATTAAAATAAGACGCCCAAATGTCATGGAATATTCAGTAGTATCATTACCATAACAAAGGCGCAGGACATGTGAGTACCTCATTAACTTGACCACACATGAACGATTAGCTTTGTGAAGTGCTCGAACTTACTTGCCCTTAGCAACGGCCAGTTATTCGCGAACCTTCGCAAAGTCAATTTTAAGGCCATCCCTAACCAGGGGAAGGAAAATTGTTTAAAATCTCAAGAAAAAAGTCACACTTACAATGTACTGGTTCTCTCCAGAACCACACTTCTCTCGAGGAGAGGTTAATCTACACGGCTATACATTCCAACTACTCTCTCTGTCTCTTATTGTTACACCATGTAAAGCATCAAATCCTATGTACTGTTGATCACCTGGCTAATATCAGCTAGCTGTGGATGGCTGATTTTAATGCTCCTTGTTGGACAGTTAGAGTGTGCAAAGTCAGACCAAATGATTTATATTGATAATTGGTCATCAGCTTATATTGACCTCATTCAACCAGTACACACTCCCTAAGATTCCTCTGCAAAATTTGCAACAGTGCTGAAGAACCTTACTGGTACGTACATGTAGGCAGTCTTGTCAGAGATGATGCACAGGGGAAGGAGTAGACCTGAGACATCAACTTCCTTGTGCAGCTGAATTCCATGTTTGTTTCTCATTGTTCCTGAGTTTCTGCTCAACAGATGGTGATTTTCACTTTCCATAATCACATTGCCAATCTTCTTTGTTCAACAGCTGTTACCTGAACTCAGTGATGCAAGTGCTTTTCACAGTTCCAGATTTTATTCAAAAGTAAGTAAAATCACGTATCTTTTAAGACTGCTTTGAAATTCTGTAACGGCACTGTCTATTCTGTTGCATTGCATTGTTTGGAATCACTGTACTTATTTGGTACTTACTGTCATTTTCATTGTTTACAATTGTCACTTTAATACTTCAGATATGCAAATCAGACTGAAGCCATCTTTTCTATGCCAGTGCAAGACCCCACATCAGACTTCAACATTCAGATGTATGTATTGGATTTTGTTTGCCGTTTTTATGCATTTGCTCTGAACATTGGATACTTCAGATTTTCACAAATTTGAGCAGAAAACATACTATACAGGTAAAAAAGCATAAGATAAGAAAGGAGTATTGTGTATGAAACACTGTTTATCAAGTCTTCTATTTTTATTTTTTCATCTAACTCAGGGCCAAGTTAGGTTATGGTCTGCAGTCAGGCATTTATTCCAAGGAGCCTCAGAACATTGATGAAAGTGGGGAACCTCAGGAATTGGTAAGGTGGATATTTATTGGAATGGTTCCACAGATGAATGCAGAACAATCAGTCTGTTTTTGAAATGTGACCTTTTTAAGTGACGAGCAAATTTTTGGTCCATTTAAAATCTCAAAGCATTGCCCACATGCTTAATTGTCTATAAGATTTCTCAATTTTTTTAGAATTTCAAAAGTTTTCAGTTTTCTCAAACTGACCATCAGGTCTTCAAAACTTTACTGCTTGTAATTAAATATTTCCCTGACATTTGTCTGAAGGAAAGGCAAAGAACAGTGAAGAATAATGCCTGGCAACATTTGTCAAGTACTGGCAAAATTATGGAATAAGCACAATGTTTATGCCACTGCCATTCATATAATGCTTTGATTTTATGCATGTTACTTGTGCAGAGTCAGGAAGGCATTGCACCGAGAATGCTTAAATCTCTGATTGGACGAGGCCATCCAGAGTTTTCCACTAATCGGCAGCAAGATGCTGAAGAGTTCTTGCACCATCTGTTTAACATCATTGAAGTAATTACCTCATAAGAATCTTCCTTTAATGCAATGTGTGGTCATGCCTTCCCTTTGTCTGATACCTATTTTTGCCCAGGTAGTTGTTTTTGTCTTGAGACCTTAGTCAAAATGATGAAGTTGTTCAGCCTGATTTTTATTTGATAGGAAAGTTTTAAATTGAACGTTTTAGGGAACTTTTAATTTAGAATTAATTTTGTATGTGATGTAGTTGCTTTACATGTATGTAAATTTGTTATTCTGTTTGCTGTTTACATAGATTGGTTCCAATTGAAATATCTTCTAATTCTTCATGTACCTGAGTTAGTCAACGAGTAATGTGCAGGAATGTTGTATTTCTCATTCTGTGTGCTTCCTGATGGCATGATGTTGGATTTTCCCCCAACATGAAATTACTCCTTAGTTTGCCACATAGCCAGTAAATGTTAGGTTTTCTTCCCCGAAAAAGCTCCTAAGGACGGGGTTTTGCAAATTCTTCAACTTCCAAAATGTATTTATGGCACCTATAAAATGTGTAGGAAGGCACAACTCTTGAAAAGGCTTCAGTTTTTCACTCTTACCCATTTTTCAACTGCCCTAGTTAAAATTGTGGCAGACGTCCAGACGTCAGCTGGTTCACATACAAAGATCCATAGCATATATATGCATCACCCATGGTCAGGTGTGTGCTTGTCAATCATTTTGAGAAAAAGAAGTTGCACGTTAGGATTTGGAAACCCTATCTCTTTTGTGATTGTGGCTTTTGCTCTCTAGCAAATTGCTGACCCAAAAAAAGGAGGTCTTTAATCCCCATTATGGTGTTAGCTCCCTAATGAAATTCTAATTACTCAAGGTGGCATTTATGGTAGGATCGTCTTCCGTGCTTTGACCCAACCAAACACAACACATTTTAATGAAATTTAACTCGCAAATGGCTTATTACAACTCTGTGATCCCAGATCCCTCAAATCTGTCAGTATATTTCAAAAGATTTTGTAGGTTTGAGGAAGGTAAAGCCCAGCCTTGTCCCCAAGTAAAGTACAAGGGAAGTGCCATAGTCTCTTGCACCATGGAGGAGTTTGCAGGTTTCAAAAAGGCTGTAAGCAAAACACTTTGGAAATTTGGGTTACCTGTCAACCAAAACAATATCCAGTCAACCAACTAATCAAGTCATGTCTCTTGGATCCTTTTGCAGCGTAATAGTGTCGGTAGCAGTAACCCATGCGATTGCTTCAAATTTGAGCTGGAGGAGAGAGTACAGTGTGTTCAATCTGGCCAAGTACGCTATAAGAAGCGTTCAGACTTCCTGTTGTCATTACCGATCCCATTAGCCGCAGCCATCAATAAAGGTTGGTGCATGTAGTTGCTTACCACTTCACAATCAAAACTGTATGAGAGCTTCAGTATATCAGTGAGTGAGCACTGAGGTCCTTTGTCAACCACCTGGTATTATGCAGTTAGATACCAAGGAAAGGACTGGTTCTCCTTAGCAATTTCAGTAGGTTTCTCCCTGTGGTGGACTTGAATTTGCCCTGTAACTTATGAAAAGATTAATGTAAATAGATTTAATTTGATGAACCAAAATAAACCTTGTGCTTGAGATTCAGTGGTGGTGGATTGTCACACATGTATTGAATGTGCAGTTAAGTGAATGGAACTTGATGACTATGAGATTTTTGTTTAAATGAGAATGGGTTGTGGCCAGAATCCAAAATTGAAGTACATGTAGATAATACAGGTTGACATCGTTCCATTGCAGTCCCAAGTGAATTGACAATGTGTAATCTGCGCCAGCTGATTTCACCAAGCTTTATAACATCATGTATGCCAAATTTTATTGTGTACATTGTGCAACAAATTCAGAGCTACTTCAAGAAACTTACACGCTAGAGTTGGGCGGTTCTTGAATTCTCAGAGCCGGTTCCGGCTCCAGCTACGGCTACGGCTCCAGCTACGGACCGTGATTCCAAGTTAGAACCAGCTCCCAAAGATATACATATAAAGAAAAAAATAAGGTTTAATAAAACATTAAAAAATCTGTCGCTGCCGCATCACGCTGGTGCCACACACGAATGGCACAACAGACTGACTTTTGGTCTTCAGCATTATCCACAGTGGGTATTTTGCCTCTTCATAGACTAGTCATAGTTGGAATAAATCTGCAACATGTATGTACAACCATCATACAACTCAGCACTGCTTTCTCCTGTACTATTTTTCACTCTACGTACATGTATAAAAATACTCCAATCAGAACAACGATTTGCCGTTGGAAGTACATGTACATTGTACATGTAACTTTACCCATAATACAAATGGAATTAACTTTGCCACGGAACTTCATGGACTGGATCACGTGTACTTATTGAACATGTGCCAACATGTTGTAAATGGCCATGTACCATGCATAAACTGGTCATTCATCCACAGTGGGCGCATCTGAAACTCTGATACATCCACTATCTTGTAAGCTACATGTATGCCATTGCCCAGGTCTATGTATGGAACCGGCTCTGAAGTAAGAAGTGGAGAACCAAGACCCTTGTTGGACAGTAAAAGTTGTGGACTCTGGTGCATTAAGTTCGGGCAACGGCTAGGCTTTTTCTTAACCACTTGACGATTTTGCCTGCTGTCATACATGTAAATGCGGAAAGTACAACACGTCACACGCAAGTACCAGGCAATGTTGAAGTCACAGCCACATGAAAAACAGTCTTCGAGCTTCATGACTTCCGGCCATGCGTGCGTGGAATAACCAATGGGATTAGGTAACCAAACACGAGGGTATATTACAGTTCATTTGTGTATGCATTTTCCCTTGTGTGGAAGGACGCCCTGCTATAATGTACAGCACGATATACATAGACATACACGTGGGAGCGGTGACTCAGATTTGATTTTTGGAGTTGTCACTCACGGGTGCTGAGCGGTGATGTGACCGGGGCTTGGATTTGATGTTTGGAGTCTGCTCTTTGAATGTGGAACAGCCAATGGTAAGGCACCCAGTTCTGCACAAAAGCAGAGCTGCCAATTTCAATTTTTTTGGAACCACGATTCCACTTGGAACCGGGAGTACCGCACAAGCCTATTACACGTTGTGTAAATCAGTAACGTCACAATAGTTATTACAAAACTCGCGAATTCATTTTGGATGGCGTATGTTGCACGGATTAAAGGGACAATGAATGATTTAACTAACTCATTGCGTATAGTTTAGGCTCATCATTTGTGGCACAAGGTTTATGCAAGTTACACCACATTTCGTGAAATTAGCTGCAGCAATTTGTAGACTTGACATTCATTGTAGTGTCACAAGATGGTAAGCAGCATTTGATTATCCCAACACTCCTGGCTATTTGATCCCATCTGCCTTTTATTGTGGACATTTTGTGATTTTTGGTCTTAGAGATGTTAACTTCTTTATTTGGGTTTTTGCCTTTCATTGACTTATATTTAGAAAACTGTAAATTTAGTGTTGTCCAAGGACTAGTGAAACAAATCAACTGTTAGCTTGCTTGTGAGCGGTACAGTGTCTGAACTGGTAAACGGGAGGTTCTGACTTTAAGTCCCACTCAAGTTCCACTTTTCTTCACAAGCCCTCGGCCAACATTAAATATAGAGCGTTAGTGGGCAAGCTCTCAATATAAAAATGACCCATGTTGGGGTTAACTTGGGAAGTTATCAAATGCATCTAGTGTTTCACTCCTCTACTGCTTTCTGTGATGTGAGTATGATTTGACCTGGATATTTTTTTCTGTCTTGGCAGAGGAAGTCGCTGCGTATGAAGCAAAAAAGAAGGAACTGGAAGCTAGGAAGGAGCACATTGATCCCAAGGAGCTGGTCCGACCTCGTATTCCAATCTTAGCCTGCTTGGAGGTGTTCATGGCCCCAGAGACTGTGGAGGATTTCTTCAGTTCTGCCTTACAGGCCAAATCTATTGCTACAAGGTAAACTGGAGGAACAAGGTTCAAAGCACTTCACTCA